ATTTTATTTACGTTATCTATCTTTTCATTATTATAGCGAGAACTGTCACCGCTTTATCTAATCTCCCATAATGCCCCTTTAATATCTCCAAGAGACAAAATATCGCTGTACTGCCCGTGCGCCTCTTTTTTTTTTAGTCAACACAGAATAAATGACGCCATTTAATTTGGCAAACACCGAATACCTCAATGAAATGCATTAACTTATTATAAACACTTCATTAATAGAGTACACTCAATTTCGCCCTTTTCACGCTTACTAAAAGATTTCTATTGAAATTATTAACAAAGGGTTAATAGATCGGGCTGTACTCGAGATTAAAGTGGTTCAATTTCACATTTATTTACTAGCGTAGAGTTATCCTTGTTTATTTTGGACACAGCAGCGAATTTCGGTACCAGTTTTATGTTAGATATGGCGATGCTTGATATCAATTGACATGAACAGTGACACTGTTCGGAAATATTAGCGCTAACCGGGATACATTTAGTACAATACGAGTTTATATTTACAAATAACGAGGTGACTTACCTCGTTATTCGCCAATAACGAGGTACAAGCTACCTCGTTATTCGTTTAGTGACGAAATGACATTGTTATTCTCGAATGAACGTTAAACACCATTTCTCTCTCTTTTAAATTCTTAAAAAGTATATAGGTTTATTAAGATAAAAAGTTGAATTAACAAATTCTATAAAATAAATTGCTGGATCTCCGATTGGCACCTTTAAGCGTGAAGTGTGGATATTTATTACTGATTTAAAGTGTTGTATTAAGACTAGGAATAATATAATCAATTAATGGGGTTGTGGTATATTAACCCAATGACACGGTATCATATTAAGAGTTTTTATATATATATTTACAGAAATACTTATGCTCAAACTATATTTAATAGTCACGCTCGCTTCTTATAAAGTGCATATTTTGCAAACAATATCTAGATCAATAATCGACGAAGGAAACGATAAAAGATGTATTCACATCCGAATGTAGACAAAGGTCGCACTTACAATGGAAAATTAGCCCTTAACCCCATTTCCATCTTAATAAAAGAAAATGAAATGGGGAAATCTAACCTATTTTTTAAAAAAAAGTGTATTTTCCGAATGGGCGACTGTGGTACTTCCTAGAAATTACGAATAATTAATGGCAATAAAGATTACGTAGATTACTATATCTAGCTCAGAGACAGGTGAAGCAAACCATACAAATTGTACGTAAATCCATATAATATATACACTTAGCTCGCATTTATAATGGGAAATGCGCCATCTAGCTTGACTTAAATGAATCGCAGACATGCGGAAATGCTCCAAAGAACACGCACGCTAAGTTTCGTGTCGATCGTACCCGAATCGGTTGAGCCGTATGTTTTGTTGAAAAGCGTTTTCACAAGAATATGAAGCACAACGACTGACCTAATATGATACTCCATAGAAATTGACATTAAATAATTTTCAAAATTCAACCCCACAAGAGTATGTGACAAGGAATATTCACGCCTTACTAACGTCTTAAGTTTGTTTCCTCGTATCACGGTTCGACTGGGTACCCATTTTATTTTAGTTCCAACCCCACCCAAGCCCGCCTCGATCCCACACCCTAACATTAAGTCTTGCTGTCTTTGCATGCAAAATAATAGGCATGCACTACGATATTCAATAGATATAATAAGTAAACGAATACGAAATATACATGTATAAGATTAATACTGAAAACACGAAATATATAAGATTAATACTGGTAACAAGAAATATACCATATTGGCCTGTCTTTCTGGAATTTATATTGTTTTTTTTTACTGTGTTGAACCGAACAACACTATTCATGTTCAAGGATTTTCTATAATAACTTCCAGGGTAATTACTTTTTGTTATAAATTTTTTTTTTGTGTGATCTGATTTGTTTTTAATATTTATGAGTTGTTTCCCTCATAACTGCTCAAACTGCAAGCTAGGTGTCGCCGTATGTTTCATTGCCTGGCAACCTATGATTCAAATATATGGCGAAAGGTGTTTTTATAGCCTCTTTTCAACCCCATAACACTCAAATCACCCGTTAATATTGTTTTAGGTAAAAGTCACGTTCACTGTGCCCTATATCGAATATACTTCATGATCGAGTGAAAAACAATTTTTAATACGGTTACTTATAACTATAATACCAGTAGACCCATCCCCCTTCTCCCCAACGTCACCGTTATTTAACTAAGTTAAAGGGTTGCTGTAACGAAAAAGTTTTCCGAATAGGTTACATTTTAAAGATGAATTATGTAAGATTTAGATAAAGAGCTGACAGTTCTCCTTATAATAGTTCAAACATAGATGTTGCAAAATGAATTGAAAATTTCATTCAAAGTACTTTATTTTGAACGAAGATGTCATCGTTTTACTTTTTAAATTAAATCATGTTTTAATCCGTTGAATCTCCGTCATCCCATGGATTAGAGAGTTGATTAATATAGGCTTGTTCTGTGAATAAATATCTAAATAATAATATCTAAATAATAGATTTTACGAAAAACCGAGGTCCCGTGTACACATTGGCGTGCACGTAAAAGATCCCTTGACAGATAGAATTCGATATAAGAGTAGGCCGTAGTGCCACTGTCCGGGCAAAAATTTCACTCACACCGTATATGCCCGTCTTTCTTTAGCCCATTTCGGAGCAGAACAGTAGGACGTTAACCGCCCAATTTCATTTCATTTTGAAGCCAAACTAAAGACCTACAATAGGTAGATTTATCATTTCCATAATGTATCTTTAATTATTTCAAATTTAATAATAATTCAATTTTGAAAAACATTATCAGATATTATCTCGAGCCCAGTAGCTATGGCTTATCCAATCCAGGTCCATACTATCGTTTTATTTAGAGATACGTAGCGATATGTCGTACATGAGACATGATATGCTTACTCTTTCTAGGACAAAAGAAATCGAGATCCCGGTGTACACATTTGCGTGTACCTTGAAAGTTGGAATTCGAAATAAGAGCAAAATTTCCCTATTAGTACACTGTATAGCGTTTACCCGTCTTCACTTTCCCAGTTGGTGCAGAAAAGTGGGACGTTCAACCCCATATTATTTCATTTCATTTTCATTTTATTTCATTTGATACAACTTAACTAAGACGTGTGTCCCTATTACCGATTTAGTAAGTCCATTAATATAGGGGGGTTGGATGGCCGAATGGTTAGTACGTGCGTGCTGTATCATAAGGCCTGTCATTCAGTCAACGGGCGTGGTTTCGAATCCCCGGTTGTACGTGACAAGGATTAGGGTGGCCTGTCCAACCTCGTGGGTTTTCTCCGAGTCCTCCGGTTTCCTCCCACTGCTGAAGACCCCTACGCGCAAGCGAATTATTGAAATAAAATTTAAAACCATATGTTAGTAACGAAATGACCTAGTTTGTGTCGAGTGGACGTTAAACCCCATTCTCTCTCTCTCTCTCTCTCTCCATTAACTATATATATTTTCGAGGATCATTTGAACTTGATTACCTCTTATGGCCTCTTGTGTACATAGAACAACCCCCTTTAAGGAATTGGTGTTTATTAGAATATACCAGTAAATATTAGACATTACTAAGGGTGACTAATGACTAATTGGTATTAGACGAGGAACAGGCGAGAAGACAACATTGATTGTTGCAACAGGCAGAAGACAAGGGTTAAGGGGGGCATGTCAAGAGATCACGGGGAAGACCTTTAACCGGAAAAGAAATGTGGATTTATTTTTATTTTATGTATTTATGTGCTGCATTTGCAGGTAATTTTTTTTATGTGTAATATATTTATTTCTATACCGTAAAAGCCTATATTAAATTATTCGTATCTTTTAAAAATCCGACTATTGAAAAATCATTTAAGACCGAGGTACAATGCTATTCTTACTTATCAAGATGTACTGTCACGACAGTTTTACCTTTACACTTTTCCCTCGTGGCTATGCCCGTCTTCATTAGCCCGATTTGTGCAGCAAAGTAAAATACAGCCCAATGAAGCACCCGTCTTCGTTAGCCCAGTCATTTTATTACCAATGAAGCGTGATTTGACTGTTGTACAAAGTAATCCGCCCAGCCCCAAGGAGCAGCTGGAATCGCTCCGTGGTCTATGAAGCCCCAAGAGACCCATTTATGTTTATATTTATTTTTTTACGTGTACACATCCTTTATGCATACCACAGGGTCCCGGTCTGCCCTACTCTGAGGGAAGTAAGAAACACTATTTTTTGCATAGCCCTTTAAATGTTTTTTTTTCGTCTTTTTTGGGGGGCGGGGGGGCGAATTTTGTCTTTCTGCGGCACATAAAAATTCTTTCAGCTGCCCTGACTCCGCTGAGTAAATCAAAATTACATTACGATATCGTTTCGTTCCTGGCTTTCATCATAAAATAAAAGAAATGAAATAGATGGGTAATCTTAATCTGATTGTCCGTTAACATCATGAAGTTTAAAGGTGCGTTATGGGAGATTAGATATGGAGTTGACAGTTCTCGCTATAGTAGTTAAAAATAGATAACGTAAATAGAATATGCTGAAAAGTTTAGTCAAATTTCTCCACTCTGAACCGATATATTAGTTTTTCAGTTTGAGGCTAGCCTCGATAAAAAGTCGATAAAAGTCAGTACGATAGAAAACAGTCTCGATTATCCATTTTTACGTTTAATCATTACCTTACAAAATGTATTCAAATCCGCTAAATATCACCGGCTAGCGAAGGCACCGAGAGTTGGTTATGGACTGGATAAGTTAATTAATGTCTAATTAATAATTTAGTTAACATGTCAGGCCTAAAGAAAGACTTGCAATAGGCAGATTTAGCTCTTGCATAATGTATGTTTAATAATGGAGGTAGTTGCTATTTCGAAGAAACAGATTATCCATTCTTTTCACTTTAGTCACGCATTCTTTCCTTTTCAGCGGCAGCCAATTCTCCACCGGAATGGGGAGCAGAGCCTTTACTTACCGGTAATGTACCGGAAGGATACTCTAGCAACATCTATAAATTAAAAGTCAGTGACCCAGATGGTGACCCTATTACCTTCACCTCATCATGGGCGCCTACTACTGGCAGTGACTACTTTTACTTCGACGAAACAAGTAAGTTCAAGCCGGCTATATTTTATATTTCAAGATGATTTGGATTGCACTGATCTCTCTTCTAGTTTTTTTTTATTTAAATGCATTTATGTACCAAAATATATACATTTTATTGGATTTTTTGGAGATCACACGTGCAATGTTAGGTGCTATGAAAGACCCCCCCCCCCCCACACACACACAAAGTCACAAAGTGTTCTTCTACGTGCACTCCAAAGTATACACGGTTCGGCCTAGATTTGTCCTGCCATCCGAACAACTAGACAAGTCGGATTAGGGCTTGATCATTTACAAGGTTCTTCTCGGTCCACGCCGTGATTTGATCTCGGGACATTCTAATCGAAAGTTATGTTCCCCTACCACACGATAACAGGTGCCATGACTGAAAGAATTGACACCGGACTAATGGCCCCCTGCTTAATCTAATGGTCCTGTGTGTGAAATAGTTTTATTTAACGTCTGCTTTCATCGAAGTGATATCGCAGACAATTACATGTATAAAGTGAGTTATTTATTTACAAGGTGATTGGTTTTTATTTCCAGCTCAACTTATCGGTGTTTCTCCTGGTGTCAGATTAGATATGGATGTAATGACAGATCTGACGTTCGTGCTCACTATAACAGCATCTGATGGCACAGCAGAAACAACAGTACCAACAACCATCACTCTAAACATAGTCCAAAGCCCGCCACCAGATATTGAACCAACTACCCTGTCATTTACTGTGGATGAGGGACCCGTAAGTCACTTTTATTGTAGTACAAGAAACCGGCACATTGTTGTCACATGTGATCATCGGCCCTTCGGTCACTTGTTGTCGACATGATAAAGATATTAGTACATGATGGACTATTTTCAAGTTAGCAGGTATTGTTCATTTAGAAATCTATTCACGTCTAAACGCACAGTCTTGTTAACACGATGCAGAAGTGAGCTGTACGTCACAATTAATTTATATGTGTCATCTAGGAAATAATTTTGGGATTGAAGTGGGGAACATAATACTCATTGTTATTTTATTTATAGGCTGGACAAGAACTTGTATTAAATGGTGGAGTAAGCGGTTACACTACTGAAATGTTTTCCGATGTTGTCACGTACAATATCGTATCGGCAACTTCAAACTTGGATTATTTTGCCATCGACAGTTCAACAGGACAGATAACTTTCGCTAAAGATTATTATATAGACGGCGCTGACCCACTTCCGTCAACAGTCACTATTAAGGTACAAGGCACAGATACGTTTGATGAAGTCGACACTGTCGACGTCACATTTGACATCCAAGACGTCAATCAGATACCCCAGTTTGCCAAATTGCCAACTTCGACGTCTGTTGCAGAAGACTTGACACCAGGGTCGCCTATATTTACTGTGACGACTACAGATAAAGACAGCCTAGATGTCGTCACCTTGTCGGCTACCTACGGAACTGGAGCGGACATCTTTGATTTTGACTCAAATAGTAAGTTCGTGATTTTTCTTTCTTTTGGGATATGTTTTTTTTGTTGCATAAATCTAAGTTTTTTTTTTTATCTATTTGTATAAGGAAAAAGTTGGTTGCACGCTGGCCGAGATAGTTCGTTGTGATCTTTCAGCCTGGTTACCGTTTTATAGGCACATGACTGGGGACTTGACACTAGTAATAAACTGTAGTCTGGGTAGAACTAACGTGTATGCACATAGGTGAGTCACGGTGGCCCGACGACTATGGCACCCCCCCCCCCCCACTAACCAGGTGGTCACCGGATCGAGATCGAAACCCAGTGTTGCCTTTTGAATTTTCCAGTCTGCTTCACATTGTCCCTGGAGCAGAAAGGGGGGGGTTTGGCACGAAAATCCAAGGTTCTGTGTTCATGCTCTTTTGACAGTTAGAAATCGAATAATTAAGAGTACATCAATCTGTTTGGCGCTGAACTTCATTTCATGCAGTGTATAATATATTATCTGGATCTTCAATATCCCTTTTTGAAGAGGAATTGGTTAGCACAAGATATTTCTTCACCGACGGTAAAATAAGCATATTTATATTTCAACCCAAAATAATAAGTTTGTGGTCATTTTGCGGATCAAACATAATATTATATGTACATATTTCTATAATTTAGCCGGTGTGGTAAGCCTAAAAGCAGGCCAGAATCTTGATTATGAAACGACAACAACGTATACAATAACCATAACGGCAGACGATACCAAGGACACAAATGACGCCATCTTAACAATAACGGTCACGAATGTTAATGAAGCGCCATCTTTTGATAATACAATTTATTACGTCACCGAAAATGAAGGAGTGGTGAGTATGCTATAGGTTCACAAAATATCATATTTTCTTTGATTAACTTGTATCTAACATGCGGTATTATTTTTATTTCGATTGTACTACGAGGGGCGAATATAGCAAAAGCCCTTTAAATTATATCTGCAAAAGCTTTATCTTATTGGCTACTTATAACTCACCGATTTCGTAAAACATACGGAAGAGCTGTCAAAGCATGTTGTTGAAGCAAATGTGTTTTTAACCCAAGAAATACGTTTATAAATAAAGTCGTTTTGAAACTGGAAATGATGTTTAGTTCTTCCTCATCAATAACTGTTCCCATCAATCTCTACTCTAAAACATATGGTTATTTTTATTCTTCCGTATTCAATGATTTCTCCTATTTACACAACACTAATTTTTCATTGAATTTACAATTCAGGCAGGATCAACGTTATCAAACACCGGCCTTGTGAGTTCGACCTCTGATCCAGAAGGCGATACCCTAACCTTTAAGATTATTGGTGGCGCCAACAAAGATAAATTTAACATGGCGTCAAGTACTGGCATCTTTACTTACGCTTCCGACTACGAAATTGACCCGAGCTCCTCACTACCTTCGACTGTTGTGCTGGATATTGAGGCCACTGATCCGAGTGGTTTGAAGGCAACTGCTCAACTTAGTATTACCATTAGCAACGTCAACAAGGTATGTTAAATTAGATATTTATGAACATGTTTATTTTTGAAAATAGAAAAAAATTGTTAGAGCGGAAATAAATTCTTCTTACAAGCCTCGTTAATATACTGAGCGCCATGGAAAACGCATCACTTAGATTTTCGTATAACAAAATGATCCTGTAAACATATCTTATTTATTTTGCATCTTATTGTGAACAATATTCAAATGGGAACACATCAATAACAACACATTTATACACTTATGGATGTTTAATCTGTAATCAACGGTACAAAGTCAGAGGGGTCAAAACCAAAAGTACGACACAGATGTCAGTAGCGCGATGTCCTCCACGGGCTCTTACGCACGCTGTGCAGCGACATCGCATGGAATTTACCAATGTTTGAAAGAAGGCCTGGGGCAAATTGTTCCATTCTTGGACAAGAGCAGCTTCTAAAGCAGCAATGGTGTGCATCTGTGGTCTCCGATACAAACGGCGTCCAGTCTCATCCCAGACATGTTCTATCGGTACCATGAGACATGGCTGGCCAGACCAAGACATTGATGTTTTTAGCAGCCAGGTAGTCCATACTAAAACGGGCGGTATGCGGACGTGCATTATAATGTTGGAAGTGCTGAAGTTGTGGGTGCGCTCGAAACATCGGAACAACAATTGGTTGCAAGACATCATCACGGTAGGCTACAGCATTAACGCGACCCCTGCAAATGTGAACGGCGGTCCGGTGATGAAATGTGAAGCCTCCCCACACCCTTACACTTCCCCCACCCCATTGATTCGTTTCGAAGACGCAGCAGTCTGCAAGACGTTCCCCAAGACGTCTCCACACACCTTGACGGCCATCAGCGTGATAAAGATGAAAGCGACTCTCATCACTGAAGAGAACACTTTGCCAGTCTACTCTTCTCCATGTCTGGTGTCCTTGAGGCCATATCAGACACCGTTGACGGTGATGATCCCTGAGGATGGCTCCAACATAAGGTCGTCGTGCACGGAGCCCTACTTCTCTTAGACGACGTCTTACGGTGTTGGCACTTACTGGTCCTTGTCTTCCGACGACTGCTGCACCTGTTCGAGTCGCTGGGCGGAATCTTTCACGCAGATGAGTGACCCGGATGTAGCGGTCTTGAGCCTGGGTTGACGGTCTCGTGTTTATCCAGTAACTCGAACACGTTCCACCAAACTTACAATAGTGGACTGATGACAATTGAAGTGTCTGGCAATAGCATGTGTAGACATGCCAGCCCTGGACATTACCATGGCTTCATTCCGTTGATTTTCAGTAAGTCTCGGCATCTCTAGCTCGATTCCTTCACACGTCCAACAACAAATTACGACAGATTGACGTTTCACAGTTCTTGTACTGCACATTAAGTTGAAAATATGCTTTTAAAGGGCTCACACATAATGCTGCATCTCGTGCAATTTTTTTTGTGCACACGGGCCGATATTTTTTGCGTTTGGGAGCATTGTGTGAAACAATAGTTCATAGTATTGCATAATATTATACATACAAAACCACCTAGTAATAAAATATTTGGGGAAAAAAGTGATGCGTTTTCCATGGCGCTCAGTATATTTTGGCATGTTTACCTTTAAGTATAACGACAAACGGGCCGACGTAACTCTAGTCTATCTTGGCAATCAAACATCGCCATTTTATGATCCATGCGGATATGACTATTTGCTATCATAAGCTATCCCACATCTTCTTGTGCTAAAACCAAAAGGGTTTGTTTCGATCAGAAGTGTGTCTCACATGCTGCTCCAACAGAAAGGAATGAATTACCAGCAGAAGTTAAGAATTCACCTTCTTCAGGTATCGACTCAAAACAAACTGTCTCACAAAAGCATTCACCATGTGACAGTGTGATGCCCCCATTTGGCTATATTGTAACCTCGATTATCAAATATGGATTTTGGGTTTCCAAGAGGCTATTCCTTACAGCGGAAGCCGTTTATATAAATCTACATTTTATTAAATCGTTTTATGCCACGTCTCAGAAACTACCGAGGAATGTATTTGTTTTTATCTATTTGTAAAAATCCATTTTGACCTTCCCATGGTTCGATAACCTTATCTGCTCAATTTTCATGATATCACCATGCTATTAGTTTATGACCAAACAACATGGAAACCTCTACATAACTAACTGCTATAGTACTTTCGACCTAAAGTCTATCCAATGTCAAGTGCCATTAAATTTTGCGATTACCATTAATGCAGCATATTATAACTTACCAAGGATAGTTCACGAAAGGTAATGGATACTGATGGAAATCAACAATTTTATCTGGAGTCAAAAATCTTTCTTTTTGTCTTGACGATGCAATGAGGGACAAGGAATTTTCAAGTTCTTTCTTTTTTGTTTTTGTTTTAAGACAAATTTGATTTATTTAATGCAAACTGTCTAGTGAATATAACCATAGGTTTAACGTGATTGGCATGTTGGTACTAATGTGCAATTAAAAGACAGGGAAAACGTAAGCATACACAGCGTGGTGCATAATCTTGAATTGTTATGTTTGTTTGTTACAGTTGCCTACCCTAGACAATCTTCCCGATACAATATCGATACCTGACGATACTACAGGGGGTGCCATTGTATTTACTGTAACCTTCTCCGATCTGGATACGGCCGATACTGTTACAGTTACTGGTAGTCACCAAACGTCTGGTGGATCTTCTAAATTTACAATAAACTCACAAAGTAAGCTGTCTTTTCTTTTAAAAATTATAAATGATCAATTGAAAAGTAAAATAAAACACGGTATTCCTACACTTTCACGCCAGACGCTTCATTTATTTTGTGGGGATCACGTGGCTAAGTGGGTAAGACGCTGACTCGCTAGATCGATCCCTGCATTGGCCGAGAAAGTTCATCCAGATTTTCCGGCGTGGTTTCCCCTTGTCAGTGATGCAGGATGGAGGGCCTGACAAGGACAGCTGTCTAGTCGTTCGGATGGTACGAAAAACCGAGGTCCCGTGTACACATTGGCGTGCACGTAAAAGATCCCTTGGCAGTTGGAATTCGATATAAGAGTAGGCCGTAGCGCCGCTGCCCGGGCAAAATTTCCCTCATAGCACACTGTATTGCGCATGCCCGTCTTCATTAGCCCAGGCTAGGAGCAGAACAGTAGGACGTTAAACCCCATTTCATTTCATTTCATTTATTTGGTTCTCATTGGTACAATGTCTGCATACTTATTGTATTATTAATCGTTTTGTAGTGCATACGGTCTATGTTTGTAAGTGTAAAATACTTATTGCTAAAGCCTTATTTAGTTTATTTTAATAAAATTGTATTGCATAAATATTAGTACTTTATATACTAATTCTGACATTGGCGACAAGTAGAAATACAATACGTGTATATACACAAACATCTAAATGAACGTGTAAAAATAATATGGTAGTTGGAAAAAATGAGCAAAAGTATCTTAATTGCATATAAATGAAATGAGGTTTAACGCCCTATCTGTTTTGCTCCGACTAGGCTAATGAAGACGGGTACACACGCCATACAGTGTACTATGAGTGAAATTTCGCCCTGGCAGCGGCGCTATGGCCAATGTGTACACGGGACCTTGGTTTTTCGTCCCATCGAACGACCAGACAGCTGTCCTTGTCAGACCCCCCCACCTGCACCACTGACCAAGGGGATACTGCGCCGGAAAAACCGATGAGTTTTCTAGGCCAACCCTGGGATTGAACCCGCGAACTCCAGGCTAGCGAGCCAGTGTCTTACTCACTTAGCCATCGTGGCTCCCCAATTGCAAACTGGGCTAAAACATATTTTAATTGCAAACAACGCTAAAAAATATCTGAATTGCAAACAACGTGCAAAATATATTAATGTATTCAAATTCATTCTTATAGGTATTTAAAAGTCTCTTACCGAGAGTTTAATATCTTTTACGTTCCTTTCAGCTGGTGAAGTAACTGTAAAGAACTCGGCAACATTTGACGTATCAGTACAGAGTCAGTATATAATACAGTTTACAGCCAATGATGGTCAAGGTAACTCAGCTAATGAAGATCTGGTTATAGATATCACTAAAACTAATAAACCACCTACTTTCTCTTTTACTACATTCAGTGTTACAGTTAATGAAGGTTTGGTACGTAATTTAATAGAAAATCTGAACTGGTTTTTATTTTATTATAACATGAAAAAACCCGTGCCATCAAATTTTATCAATCCATCGATTCAATACTTAAATGCATTAGAACCCTTCGTTTGGCTAAACATAAAAGTGTCGATTTAATCAGTTTGGTGTATACGAAGTAGCAATCTGTCTAGTTTATGGAAATGTAGGTCCACGGGAAGAGCCAAATTGAGATATAAATGGAGACAACAGCAAATAGTTCAAGTCATAAACGCGAAACTAAATTAGTAATAATTAATATTTCGAAACGAAAATGCCCCCTACCTAAAGTATATAGCACATCAGATCAGCAATGAAATACTTTATTTGGACCTAATTCAAAAAGGCCGAGCCCCTTTAAATCAAATAGTACTCTAACTTTTCTTTGGCGTAAACCGTCTTAATTTAAAAGCCCGAATAACGCTTATGGCTTTTATTTTGTACTTTAGAAAGACTACGCTGTACCGGATCCAGGCATTAAAGCAACCGCCACTGATCCCGACAATGATGCTATGACATTCAGCATCCTTCCAGGAACCAACAGTGACAAATTTAAAATAGATGCAAACACTGGTATTGTTAGCTATGCCCAGGACTACGAAGTGGACCCGAATAGTCTACCGGGAAGTGTGGTGCTAAACATCCAAGTTTCCGATCCACTGGGATTAACCGACAGCACAACGCTTAGTTTAACTATCAAAGACGTTAATAAAGCCCCCGTTTTGGACAATTTGGGAGCCACGACAACAGTAGCTGAAGATATTGCTAGTGGTACATCAATTTTCACAGTCCAGTTATCGGATCCTGATTCCTTGGATTCACCAACTTTAGAATATGAGTTTGTGGACTCTTCCAGTGCCGCTCTGTTTGATGTTAATAAAATCAGTAAGTACATAAGTTAACTATAGTCTAGGTCATATATTCCAGAAAAAAAAGGATAGCACTTAATAAAATAATACTCATCACCCTAATAAGGATGTTGTCCCTCGCGTGTTCAGATTCATAAAGCTATTTGAACTCGTTAAATATCACATAACTTTTGATTATTATTTTATATTCCCTTGTGCAGCTGGACTGGTATCTTTAAAAGTGGGGACATCTTTGGACTATGAAACAAAAACAACCCATCGTATAAAGTTTGTGGCTACAGATAATAAACTCAACTCTACCAGTAGTACATTGCGTATTGATGTTACCAATGTTAATGAAGCACCGGCGTTTTCGTCTCAAACTTATACAGTCACGGTACCCGAAGGACCGGTAAGTTCTCAACATCAAATTAGCCATCATTGTCGTGATCCTCTTCTTCCTAATCATCATATCGTCAAATTTCTACCATAGTGTACCCGTTAAGTTACTGTTAAATCCCCATAATGTCAAATTTATACCATAGTGTATCCATTAAGTTACTGTAATATCACCAGTATATCATCAGCATGATCATTATCTTTCAGGATAATTAGTATTAGATCGTCATCACCATCATCCATTATTAAACAATTGTAGGACACATTAGGTACGCTATCGTAAGCATCCCTGTCAACATCTTTCAGTATGAATCCTTAAGTTAATAAGTCACGAATTATTGATCAGTGGAAAAATGACTGTATCTATAATGACACTGAACTTACGTTTATTTAAACAAAAAGCCTTAATGTACCTATCTTGATTCTGGGAATAATTACGGTTATTTGAATGATTATGTGCACGTATAATGAATGATTTCGTACATACATACGGTTATCATAGACACCTAGTATTTTGTTTAGAAAATCTCGTAAATACATTGTAGGCAGGCGGTGTTTTCCCTGATGCTGGTGTGAAATCAGGTGCCAGTGATCCGGAATCAGATACTTTAGCGTTTACATTGGTCAGTGGTAACACGGATAACAGATTTACCATAGACGCAAATTCCGGTATTCTGTCTTTTGCCAAAGATTATGAGGTAGATGCTTTACAACTACCAGGTAACTACAACATATTTATATACTTATATACTATTAACACTTACAGTTTTATTTATAGTATATCACTTTTTTCTCATCTTTTAAAATTTGAATGTCGTGTATTTCGACCCACATCACTATATCGTATTGGCTGTTATGGGGAAACTTAATTGTCTGTGTGGCCACGGTGCACTGTGGGCAATGGAAGATTTTCGTCTGCTGGTGGGGTTTATTGTGCCAACCGAAAGGTGGACGATACTACCATAACACAACTGATATTACATTAGAACGGCAGTTAATTTATCTGCATAGGTATATCTATCTTTTAATTTTAAAACGCCTGTGATATTTGTTTTATGTGCATATAAATTTATTGTTTTGTAATATATTTTAGCCTGTCTCACTTTTCACTATGTTTGGGGCAATGTAGCCCGTTTGGAGCTGACGGTGTCATACACCCATATTTTATTCATTCATTCATTGTATTATGGATTTCAATTTGATTAGCCTTTAAGATCCGCTGAACTGTTTTAAGCACATTTTCCATACCTTGGGAAACCTTACTTTAAAAAATCTCCAAGATTTCATATGGATGCCCGTCTTAATTAGCCCAGTCGGCGAAGAACTAGGGCGTTAAACCCCATTCCATTTCATATGGATGCCGTGAAAAAAATCCGAAACATCACAACACATTGTTCTCTGTTTGTCTTCTTTATCACGTGATTGTCAAATAATAAATCTATCTGATAAATTGGTATTTTTCATTTCTTATTAATAGGTTATGCTCAAGTTACGGTGCAAGCAACTGATCCTTCCGGCCTTACGGCTACGACTACAGTGGATATAACAATCACGAACGTCAACAAACCGCCAACCCTAGATAACCTACCAACTGCAGTTAGTGTTGATGAATCGTTGCTGGGCGGATCCTATATTACAACAGTAACAGGGGCGGATCCTGATTCTGGTGATACAGTAACCTTCAAACACACCTTCACAACTTCTTCGGCTTCCTCCATATTTAATGTTGATGACAACAGTAAGTAACATGTGATATTTGTATTATAATACATATAGATACTGAGACAACCTTTCATCTGGTGCTTTTTTGACAGTTGGTGATGGTGTCCTAAAACTAAATGTCCACCACCTTTGTGCTTTATCACGACGGGTTATCGTAGATGAATGGAGGTGTCAAATTGTACCGCGGTTAAATTTAACGGCGATGATAAACGTTAGAATTGTTGCCAGCCCCATGTTGTTCAGATACAGCTCAAAAGTTGAAAATTGTGCTTCACGTTATTGTAAAGACGTGCTATTATGTAATTAAACACACCTTAACTATGTATATTAAAAAAAATGGATAGCAAACTTTTAGTACTTTATTTTTATTTTTCGAATACGTACAAATAGCCACATGTAAACTAATGAAACCAAAATAAATCTGAATCTGAATACTTTTTGAACCATGTAAGATGTTTTAAACACATGTAATTGTCACTATGTATTGTCATAAACTCCATATTTAAACTTTATTCTGTCATATTTGGGTCGTAAGTGCAGAAATAACAAGGTCTCCGCAATCCCTAAAGTTACTTCCGAAATGACTGAATTGATGTTGAGCGAAGATTAACCCTCATTTATCACCCTTTTTGACTAAAGAATTTAACACTATACTACGGAAGATGTATGAGCACAAAACTATCTATGGCAATGACAGTTTCATTTCAGCTGTTAGCCCTGAACTGCGGAAGATATATAAGCTCGAATCCATGATAATTTTAATTGTTTTTTAATTCAGCTGGTACAGTGACTTTAAAGCCAACAGCTACTCTAGACTATGAGAGTGAGAATGTTTATCAGATATCTTTTACTGCTACGGATGGTGAGGCCACGTCTTCACCACAAATACTCACTATCAATATTAATAACATCAATGAAGCTCCAACATTTTCTGGTAAAACGTTTCAAGCTACAGTCGATGAAGGCCCGGTAAGACTTCAATATCTGTTGTTCGGCTTCATTAGCCCAGATAGTGCAGAAAACTAGAACGTTAAACCCTCTTCATTTCGTTTCATTTCAATAAGGAATAAGTTGATCTTGGTCAGCTCGCATAAAGACCAGGGGCCTGTTTCACGAAATTTTAACTAAGATAAGATCCAAATTTTAGTAATTTGATTGGATAATATTAGATTGATTTTAGTGCTTAGCCAATCAAAATTGGAGTATCTACTAAAATTTGGATTTTATCTTTTGTTAAAATTTTGTGAAACAGGCCCCAGTATGCTTTTCTTACAATATATCCAGTTAGCTAAGAAGGTACTTTCAAGCCATTGTCTCCATTTCCTGTGTAGTTTTGTTTTATTTAAATACAATGCCACGAAGCAAACACTATTAGTTATTTCGCGTTAACCTTTAAAATATTTGACCATCGATTTGTTTGTAATAATTTTGTATTAAAAATACTGGAATAGGAACAATATTTATTTATCGTTGGGAAAATTTGTTTTTTTTTTTAGAGTGGAACGGTAGTACCAGATGCTGGTATCAAATCATCTTCGTCTGACCCGGAAGGCGATGCTTTGACCTATACCATAGTCTCTGGAGCCAATCGGGATAAGTTTAACATGGATCCTAATACAGGGATTGTGGCCTTTGCCCAGGATTACGAGGTGGATGCAGCTAATAACGACCAACCGGGTATGGTATTTGTTCTACAGAATTTGTCTAGCTTTTGTACACAAGAATACGCGAATGTGTTTCGTAAATCCCCATCGCGCTCGAAAATAGTAAGATGGTAATTTAGACGTGCGTTACATGTGTACTAGTAATTAGTTCCCTTATCTTGGTTCTCACGATTTGTAGTTCCTCTATTTATATAAATTAAACACACCCACCCTTTCGCGTGGCAATGTTTATTGACGTTTTGATCTAGTATTGAAGAAAAACGTTTTACTTTCCATTTCCTGCCAGGTTTTAGTGAATATTCATATCAAGAAGTAAACAGGTATGAATTCGGGTCAATGCCTATAGCTTCCTTTGACCAGGCCTAGCAAAAATGGCCCACCTATTTCAATATTTATGTCAGATGATGGTGACATGTTGACCTCTTTCTGGTTAAGATTAAGGATGAAGGATTAAGATTGTCGGAATGTTAAACATATAGAGCAAGAAATATCATGGATTTAACATTGAAGTTAAAGCCCATCTTGAAATATCGACCGTGCGTTCAATAATAAACAATATAGAGGGCGTGAAATCAATAGATTGTAATGGGAAATGTGAATAGTTGTAACTAACTGATTGGTCAAATTCTGTTTAGAATACTGTCTTTTAATATAGAGAGCTATATATTTGGCTTTTATTGCCGAATTGCTATAAAACTCCATTTCTTTCTTTCATATAAATATATTATGTAACTTAGAAGATGACCATACTTAAAATTAATAGGAACAATGGTTTGGCCTAGAATTTAAGAAACTCAAGGATGGCAGGAAAAAGAAAACTACGTGCTAGCCTTAAAAAAAGAAGTGTCGTCAGGTGTTCTACAGTATAATACGACCAATTTTATTTTCAGGATCAGTGTTTTTGGTTATTCAAGTTGAAGATCCGTCAGGTTTAAAAGATACAACATCGTTGGATATTACTATAAACAATGTCAACAAATCACCAACAATAGACAATCTACCCACTACAGTCCCAGTCCCAGAAAATACTTTGGGCGGATCTACTATATTTACCGTACAGACGTCGGATCCTGATACCGGTGATATAATAACTCTACAATATACCTTTAGTCCTACGGATGGTTCAGCCATCTTTAATACTGATGTCAATAGTAAGTGCTGACCTTACTAACATTTTTTTTTGAATTTATGGAAGGATGGACACGCTGACGGTTCTGTAGAATCAACATTCCGAACCTTTCCAGACAAACCCATTCAAATGCAGTTCGGCGATTGCGTTACTAATGTGACTGAAGGACCCAGAATCAGCAACTATCGATTTGATTGAAATTGGTTAAAACAGGATTAACGGACCCCCCCCCCCTAACACATTTAATCTTTTCGTTAAGAAACACCACTGTTTCTGTTTTAAGTTAAAGGATGCCACAGAATATTAATTTGCATATGCATACCGTATGTCTTTTTTTCAATTTTTATAACTGATGTCTTTACGACACACTTATTTACATTAATTCGTCAAAAATACGTACATTGAATTTTGACTTTCATACTTCAGATGGTGTGGTGCTGTTAAACCCAACTGCTAAACTAGACTACGAAACTAAACGTCTATATGCCATATCTGTGGCTGCCACCGATTCAGCTCTTACTGCGGCTGCCCAGTATTTAAGAATTGAAATTACTGACGTCAATGAGGCCCCTTCATTCAGCTCCCCAACTTATGACGTCACTGTTTCAGAAGGACAGGCAAGGCATTTTCTGCATTATCTGGTGTTTGCATATACATATAGTATGACCTACAGGATCCCAGGCCTGTACATGTCAAAGAGTACTGTTCTCGTGACTTTTCCGCCTGTTCTCTATTACACTCCACTGCTCAAGATCTCTGCGTACATAAATAAATTATTGGAAGGAAGATAATATACAATATGTTAATCCCTTGAGTTAAACACCACCATTCCCCCGTTTTATCACTCCCTCTTTTTCCCCATTCTTTGCTGGTCGAGCGATAGGGAAATGGTCTCCGCCCTGGGATTTTTGTGTGGAGCTCTGTGGAGCTGACAGGGAAAGTGTGCCTATAATCGATGAGACAGAATCGAGCCGCTGTAGTAACTTATATGTCTCGGAATGATAAGCCTGTAATTCGGTTTGTGCTGTCCATTTCAATTTGCACTAGATAATAATCTGATATTTTAACAGATTAAATCTAAATATTTTGGGGTTATGATACTCTACTTTCAGGCAGGAAATATCATCGTTCCATATTTAACGTCATCGGTCACCGATCCGGACAGTACTGACACCAAAACATTCTCCATTTTACCAAGTTCTAACTCGGCTAACTTCAATATCGATACTTCAACCGGGCGTATAACATACGCCGTCGACTACGACGCTGATCCTAAACGGTTGCCAGATAGAGTAACCTTGAATGTGCAAGTAGAGGACAAAGGTGGATTGACGGACACGTGTATTGTTGACGTCACTATCAACAATATTAACCAAGCACCAACAATAACAAACGCACCAGCTACTGTCAGCATTGCAGAGGATACCCTCGGTGGTTCCCTGATATATGACGTCAGTGCTACAGATATTGATTCAGCAGACGAAACGACGATATACTACAGATTCCTGGATTCACGAAGTTCATCTATGTTTGATATAGATTCAAGTAGGCTATTTATGACATTGTGTATGGGTATTATAATCGCAAATGATATTCGAAAGTAAAAATATTCTTGAATGCTGGTTTTCTTGTTTGTATGGGTTAAATATGTCTATAAATGCAAACAATTTTAATTTTTTTCACTACCCGTATATTTGTTTCTAGTTTATGGTAGAAATATTAAGTTCTGACCTTACTTGTTTTATATTTTAGCTGGAAGAGTGACATTAAAACCAGATAAAGCACTTGACTATGAAACTGATTCCTATTACCGCATCCAGTTCGAGGCTTCAGACTCTCAGCTTAACTCCACGTCCGCCATCTTAGAGATTTTTATCACCAATGTTAACGAAGCTCCTAGTTTCTCAACAAGTTTTACGACAACCGTTAATGAAGGACCGGTAAGAGTTCATGTTATACTTTTAATACCAGTTCTCATTTTGACGTAGTCTAGTTCACCCAGAACCTCATAGTCTTTAACGTATGGAAGGTCTGGCTCAGTTCACTACATTTCGCAAAATTTAATGGATAATCAACCACATAAAAACAGACTTCCGGTTACGCATAGGCAATGGCGCTTTTTTTTTTTAGCTAAAGTCAAGTAAAGGTTGCTCCCAAGTAAAAGAAACCCATAATTCATGCATTATAATAAACAAACAAGAATCGTGACGATGAATTAGGATTGATATCGAGCAAAGCTCTTTGGCATCGCATGAAGCGCGTTGCTTGAACAAAGCTCTTTTCCGGTAACACAGGAGCGTAACTAAAACTGTCACTCACAGACTGTTGATTTAAAAAAAATCAGACCGAAACCGGATACACCGGGGCAAAACCGGCAATACGCATGCCAACTTACTACGCGTCTCATGGAAATATTTCCATGACGCTTCTAATCAATGCCGTCACATATTTTTGATGGCAGTGAAAATAATTCTCGAACATTTTTGTTCTTTTTTTTTAAAACAAAATTAATCATACAATTTAGATCTAAATTAAAGTCAATTCAGGAAAATGAAATAATTTAACTTTATTTTGGGGGGTGGGGGGTGGATGGCTGAATGGTTAGCGTGCGCGCGCTGTATCATAAAGCCTGTCATTGAGTCAACTGGCGTGGTTTCGAATCCCCGGTTGTACGTGGCAAGGAGTAGGGTCGCCTGTCCAACCCCGTGGGTTTTCTCCGGGTCCTCCGGTTTCCTCCCACTACTAAAGACCTCTACGCGCAAGCGAATTATTGAAATAAAATTAAACCATATGTTAGTCCCGAAATAACCTAGTTTGTGTCGAGTGGACGTTAAACCCTATTTCTCTCTCTTTCTCTTTAACTTTATTTGTATCATTTGAGAATTTTAATTATGAAAGTTTTATATTTGACAACAATCACATCAGCTTCGCTCTACTCGGGCAATCAAAATATTAAAAGTGTTTGATATTGTACAGGCAATACAAATAGATTTTTCTGAAATGGCAATTCTGAGATTAATTTCATGGGCGTCGACATCTTTAGATTTTGTTCACGATAATGTAAAAGGCCGTTTAATCTAGTCAATGACGTGTTCACATATTTTTCTTTAAGCATTTGACCAGAAAGTTATATTCTAACCAGTAGTTTAGTCTTATTTCTAACTATTCGACCTCTCCATTTAGGAGTTTTACACAATTCAAAAATGTTCTTTTGTAATTATGGATTTTAAAAAGATTCAAAAGTGAATATATATTTAAACCAAATTAGCAACTTATGTAAAAACATAACTCCATTAGTGATTCACGATATTCCTATACGATGATTTTGTTACCACTTTTTAGGCTGGTACAGCTTTGCCGTTTTCTGGAATCGGAACTTATTCGTCTGACCCTGAGAGAGACACACTGACCTATGATATTGTAGGTGGGGTTAACCAGGACATGTTTACGATGGACCCGACAAGTGCTGCTATTAGCTTTGCTAAAGACTACGAAGTCGATGCCACACAACAACCGGGATTTGTTCAACTGACAGTTCGGGCTGCGGATCCGGATGGGTTGTCTACAACTGCTTTACTCAACGTTACCATACTAAACGTTAACAAACCACCATCGATAACAAACCTAGACGCTGATATCAACGTTCCAGAAAATCTGCGTGCTGGTACTACCGTGTTTACAGTTTTAGTATCCGATCCTGATAGTACTGATGTTACTACCTTGTTACCACGCTATACAGTTGGATCAGCTAACAATGTGTTTGATATTGACGCAACAAGTAAGTTTTAATAACAAAATCGCGAAACCTTAAGTTCTTTAAAGGGACAATAACACTCTTGCTGGCTTGACAGCTCCAGAAAATAAAAAAAAATAGCCTTATTCTAAGTACTAGATGTGTTAGTGTCCTACCTGTTGTGTAAACATCCTATTTTACTTGTCCAGAGGGTTCGAAAATATTTTTAAATCCAAGTCTCATTTGAAAAGGTTTACGTTAGGCTTTTCAAATCATTTAGTTGAATTTTTCCAATTTTTTAAATTAGGTGTGTTAAGATGAAATTTGTATTATCAATTAATTTGAATATTGTAAAATGGTACAATTTTATTTGTTGACCAGAATAAGGATTTGGACATATTATCCAGTTACAACAAGAGTGGTATTGAGCCTTTAATGTAATGATATTACCGGGGCTTTACTAGCCTTTACATAAAATGGAATGGGGGTTTAACGTCCTAATATGGTATCTAACAAAAGACAGATAATAATGACAGGCACGCAGATGAACTGTTCAAACCACCCCGGTTCAAGCATCAAGTATTTTCTTATATGAAGACAGTGCTTGACTGGATCGTGTTTATTACTGGGAAGTAGTTGCACGAAGTCACTTCCTATATTATTATAATAAGGTTATCACGCTCGTATAGTATGATACGTAACATATTGATCGTTTAAATTTGCGTTCTAAACATAGTTTATCCTTATCACAAGCGAACCATAAATGCTATGATAAAGATGTAACGCGACATATTCTTATGTTACAATCACATTACTACAACACCATCGAAGTCTATGTGCAATTAGTTTGCTACTTGAAATATCGAATTATTTCAATTAGTGCTGCCAGATTCAGTCTAATTCAACGGTTAAATGTGAAAGCCGTCATCACCGCACCACGTCTCTGTTTCTGATTGTATAATTTCAGGTGGAGCACTCAGTATTAAATCACCGAACCAGTTAAACTATGATACAACCCAGTTATATAGAATCGAGTTTCTAGTTACTGATAGTAAACTAACTTCAACACTACCCGTTACATTAACTGTACATATAACTAACACAAACGATGCCCCAGTTTTTACTTCCACGTCATTCCCTCTTACGGTTCCTGAGGGACAGGTACGATTAATTTTTTTCTCCTTTGTGGTGCCTCTTTGCACAGTGTGAATATTAACAGGGCATTTTAATACATCGCTCTATTGCTCCTGGGTTATACGAGTATATGTATTAAACAATGAGCTATCTAATGCGTCATTAAACACAATTTAATTTATCCAGGCAGGGATAGTGCAATGAGCTCTGTCCGTTCGTCCTAATATCGTATTCCGTTTAAGATATCTTTATGACACACATCTATCTATTAATATTATACTAATTTTGCCTTTTCAAATCAGAAATATTTTTTATGCTAGGATAGAAACTACGGAAACAAGTTTGAATTTGTTTTAGGTATACAAGGGCGCGCGATGTTGAGGACAATATATTCTTGTTATCATGCTAAATGAGAATAAAACAATTTTGCAGGCTGGAGATGCGGTACTCAGTAATCTGACGTGCTGTGTAACTGATTCAGATGCTGGCGATATACAGACGTTCTCTATTCTAGCCGGCCCTTATTCAGAGTATTTTAACATTAATCCTGATACTGGTAGGTTACATACTGTCAATAAACAGACATTCCCTTTTCTACCCGATCCTTATTCAGAGTATTTTAACATTGATCACAGCGCAGAATTAGTAACATCGATTTCAATTTTAGCATGATGCACACCCATGCCATCGAAGAAACTGGTTGATCGTAAATCAGAGGTTGTTTTTTTTTAAACATCAGCCTCGATAGGAACGAATTGATTGGTCGTAACTCACAGTTTGTTGAACATCGACCTTGACTTTAGAAAGTTAGCACAGATTATTAAGCATCGAATATCAGTGGAACTACTTGGTCATGTGTATTGCTTTAAAGAAACTATTATCCACACTGGTAATTGCAGTGTTACTAAGTGTTGTAGAATGAATAAGGGAAGCCTACCTCGTATGTTAGATGGTACTTGTTTTCTGAGATATTCTCCTCAAAGATCACCAGATATTGGTTTGTGCTCAAATGTAATTAATTTGCATATAAATTTATTCTATATGTTAAGTGTTTTTTTGAACAACTCAACAGGTAATATTACGTATGCCAAGAATTATAATGCCGACCCAAGTCTGTTACCATATAATGTACGACTGGTAGTTCAAGCAACTGATATGTTTAATTTGACCGGGACTGCAACAGTTGATCTCACCATCACTGATGTCAATCAACCACCAATCATAGTCAATCTGCCAAAAACCGTCACAATGGCGGCCAATGTCGGCTCTGGCACCAAAATCTTCACAGTAGAAACAACAGACCCAGATTCTGGTGACGTCAGCACTGTTGGATATCAATATCAACTGCGTAGTTCACAGAATAATTTTGATATTGATAGTTCCAGTAAGTAGATTATTTGAGTTGATCCACCCGGTTCTTTATTCTAATAACAACGGATAATATTGACAGCCACTCGGATCAAGTTTATAGAAAATTCCAGTGACCTCTGTTAAGGGATGCCTTTAATTAAAGAACACGTTCGAAAATTTTATCATTAAATTTGAAGCCCGTAATATATTACAAATAAAAATGTTTTAAGTAAATAGGTCAGATTTGGTTATTTTGTTTATCGCAATTAACTGTTAGTCATTTTTTCTACCCGTTTCAATTGAAAAGTGTTAGGGACCAAGGTAACGATGCCTCTGCTTCTCTCCTAGTATGCTTTGAATTTAGTGATCGATTTAAAATTTCCAGCTGGTGTCGTCACAATCAAAGATGGAGCTACATTTGTATATGGCAGTAATCCAATCCAAATAGAGTTCACAGCAACAGACGGAACAGCCTTTTCTGAAATGTCTCTTCTAACTATTGAAATAACCCCAGCGGTATCGGAACCCGCCGTAAGTATTATATTATACAGAAAAGTCATTTAATTGGCCTTTTCATAAAATATATTTCGTGTATTGTCAAAATCTTGATGACTTTAAGGGTATATAGATCAACCCTATATCGTTTGTTTAAAATAAATCTTGGATTTCATAATGTATATGTTCCAACTTGTCAATTTATTAGGAACGGACATGTCGAACTTTAAATGACTTCATAAGTGAAATTGTCGGTGATTAGTAAGAGCGTTTTTGTCCAAATTTCAATTGACAAAAAAGAAACGCTCTTGTGGGTCGATGATTTATAAAAGCAGTAACCTTGGAAAAGAATACTTCATATTAACCGGAAAATCGATTATAAAAGCTTTGACTGTTTACCTCAGCGTTTCTTTACATAGTTCATTTGTTTGGCGTTCTAAACCTCTATCGTAATTTATATGAGGGCCTAGGGTATAAATCATTAAGTTAAAGACACTTCTTTACGTTGGACTCCCGTCATCGGTTCGCGGTAGTCAAAGCTACTTAATCACGGCTAATCGATCAGCAGGAATTAGACTAAGAATTAAAAGATAATGACAGAAGCTAGTATTCCCAAAATGTGCTGGAGGTGTACCCGAGAGAAAATACATGGTTTATATAAACTGATTTTATAATGTATGTCTTTCTAGTTTTTGTCTAAACCAGAGAATTTAGGCTGGTTTGTACCATTAATGATATTGCTAGGATTGGCCCTGTTAGGTCTACTCGGTTTTCTACTCTATAAATTCTGTTGTAATGGTGGTTATGGTGGGCGACGCAGGTAATTATATCATTTTAAATATTCATTTATTATATTTCAATTCGATATTCAAATTTGGTAAAATAATAAACATAACATAACATAAATAAATTTCTCCAATCTGATTAAAACGCAGATTCTATTTGGTTTTTTTTTTATAGAACAAAATTTCGTTTAATTGTCTTTACTACACTAGGATCTGGAAAAGTTGTTACATTCTGGTTGGTTGAGGGATTGGCCAATGAAACGGTCTGTTGCATCAAGTTCTTGCAGTGCGAAGCACGGAACTGGGTATTACACTAGAAACGTCAACGCTGATTGGTTAATCAAATGTCTGACGCCATAGTTCAAAATCCGTTAGTATGACCCCTGACGTGACCCCCCACCACAGCTGGTTAGATCTTCATGCAGTTGAGGTCATTGAAAGTATAAAGAAACGAAACGAAATATAGATCTGTATATTAATCAGATTAGAAATGTCCCCAATTGAACTGTTAGTGGTGCCTTGTCTGATTTTTTAAAGGGAGATCTCAACAGCGTTTTTTTCCAGTTGATAGCAAACTCTATTGAATTAAACAAAAATACAATTTACAATTTTTTATTACAAATGTCTGATTTATTAAACAAATACTGATGTAATGGGGTTTAACATCATGACAAATCTTTAATTATGTTATATTGGTAATATAATGCAAAATGATTAACGTGCAATGTGTGAGGGCGAAATATGCACACATACTAGCATTTCCACCTACTCTGCTAAGTGATCTTTTACTACCAATGTGTACGGGATAGTGAGATCTTTTGTGTATGCGATATGTATGTGATTTTTGTGTTATATGTTATTTTTTGTGTTATATGTGATGTTTTGTGTTATATGTAATATTTTGTGATATTTGCTATTATTTCTGTGATTTATTCGATGTCTTCGTATTTACCATATTATGTTTGCTTATATATTTTCTTACTGATTTCAAATGTATAAATACTACTTCATGTTAATTATTCTTATTTACAGTAGAATATTTGATTCTGAGAATCCAAAACGATTAGTAAGAAAGCAGACTCCACCATCACCCAAACCTCCACCACATACTAAATTTGGTAATATTTAAAAATATTTTTACTCTGATTAAAACATTATACAATATTTCGTCCCGGTTAAAAAGGGTTTTATCCCAATTTTTTCTAAACATACACGGATGCATGTCGTTTTCCGTTTATTTTTGTTCATCAGTTGATATTTATTTGTAAAACAATTACTACTATACATTTATGTATGACGAGAAATTCTATTCACTACGGCGACAAACGGGACCGACGTGTTTGTGACCAACATTTGTTTGATAAACTATTTAAAGTGTTAGTACTTGTAATCATTTGTATTTCAGAGCCCAATATGAAAGTAAAAATAAGTAAATTACAATTTCCAAGAATTTATAAATGGGTTCCAGAATAAATCCGTAAAATCAGAGGAGATGAAGGAATCTATGGTGGATACCGAACATGCAGTGGGCAACGTGGGATCGGAGTAATTTTACCTTTATGAATTATGTATTTTTTGTTTACCTCAATTGTAATACATGTATATTAAGTATTTATGTTTATACAATAGTTATAATGTAGAATAAAGCATGCAATAATAAATTTGGTTAATCTAATTCACCCAAACTGTGCTCGTACGTAATAAATATACTATTCAAAAAAAGTAGGGGATATTTGATTTTTAAGTGTTATTAAAGTCACCTAATGAAACTGACGAAGAAACAAATGACAAAATGAAATGAAGTTCACATTCATCGATTTATTCCAAATGATCGTTAGACTAAGTAAGGCACAGACTGACCATTATAAGGGTAAAATGATACCCGGGGTCAAACAGCAAAGTTACCACAGCATCACAACCAAGTCAGTAACGGGTAAATCCTCCTCTGTTTGCCAAACAAGCATTGATCCGACGTGGCATACTCCTAATGAGACGTCTAAGGTCATTTTGGTCCAGATTGTCCCATTCCTGTTGCAACGCAGCAGCAAGTTCTTGGACATTGGCAGGACGTTGTTGACGTTGACGTAACCTCTGTCCAAGCATGTCCCAGACATGCTCGATGGGGGAGAGGTCGGGACTCAGTGCTGGCCAAGGTAATGTGGTGATGTTCTGTTGTTGGAGGTAACCTGTAACGATCCTGGCCCTGTGACATCTTGCGTTGTCATCCTGGAAGATGAAACGGCGGCCATGACGTCGTGCGAACGGCACAACATGGACTGCCAAGATGTTGTCCCGGTAGTACTGGCCTGTAACACGCCCTGCAACAACATGTAAAGCCGTTCTTCCAGCAACAGTGATGCCTCCCCACACCATAACAGAACCACCCCCAAATCGATCATGTCTGATGACGTTAACGTCTTGGAAGCGCTCGTTTCGACGACGCCACACCCTCCTACGTCTGTCCAAAAAATCAACAGTGAACCTTGACTCATCTGAAAACATCACATTGCTCCAGCGTCGATTATCCCAGTGTTGACGATCCCTACACCAACGACGTCTTGCCTGAATGTGATGATCTCTCAAACAAGGGATCACGCGAGGACGTCGGGCGCGAAGGTGACCCCTATGCAGTCGATTCCGAATCGTCTGGCCACTCACTCTCACACCAGTGTCTGTTTGAAGACGAGCGCTGATCTGATTTGCTGTGATGACACGATTTCTCAAGGCCAAGGTACGGATAAATCGATCCTGGGCTTGAGTTGTCGCCCTTGGTCGACCTAAGCTTGGTCTGTCCTGTACAGATTGTGTATCACGGTATCTGGACCATAGCCTGCTTATGACAGACTGAGAAACATTCATCGTCCTCGCCACAACCGCCTGTGTTGTGCCGATCTGTAGCATGCCAAGGGCACGTAACCTTTCATTTTGGGTAAGCCGACGCATATCAAAATTTGTTTTCTGGTCACTAAAACAATTAAACTGATGTTTCCACCCTGGAATTCAATGCCACAATGACTGTAACATTCGAAGTCAGAGTCGTGCAAATCTTGGGTTGGACCCCCATGATGATCCCAAGCATCACCTGCATTCCATGCGGTAGCTATTGGTGCGTTTGGGCGTCACATGTAACTGGAAATGTTTCTTCTGTTAGGTTCTATAGTGACTTTTTTCGTAGTCATTTGCATATTTTAGTATTATGCCCCCAAAATCAAATATCCCCTACTTTTTTTGAATAGTATATTATTCAGTCGAATATGAACGTCCCAATAACAAGGCATAGCTTGTGGATCTAGTTATTCATAGTTGGTGATAGGTTGCCTATGACCACACCCATAACAGTCACCTCCTATATTCACGTCCACCTAAAATGATAAAGAGTAAGCACACACTGACTAGTGCACCCTACTTGTAACTCAATGAACATATTGTTTGGGTTTGAATTTTATGGGTGGAAGCTACCAGATAACCTACGAAGACACCCAGGATTAGGACCTGGGCCATTATTCACGAAAACTTAAACTAAGTTACAACCGAAATTTTAAGCAATACTGCAATTTCATTGGATATATGCAAATTGATTTTACTGGTCAGCCAATCGAATTGCAGTATTTCTTAAAATTTCGATTGTATCTTAGTTTAAGTTTTCGTGAATAAGGCCCCAGGAAAATAAAGTTAAATTTTACTACCTAATATAACAAGGTTAGTAGAATATAGACCAGTGATTGCAAACTTTTATGTGAGATTCATTTGGTTCACAAGCGATCCGAGCAACTAGACGCTGCATCAATAACAATGGGATACTAAGCTGGAAAATACCTTGGAACTTTATCGGCCAAATAAACGAAGAAACAATTTAGTACACAGGAAAATAATAACTTTATTAAGGGATGAACATACATCAAAATTCGCAGAAACGAGTTGCATCTGATCGTCATTCGTTGTTTTTATTCCTTTGCAAACTACAATATTGTGTAAGTTGAATAGGCCTTTAGTCCAAAATGGTTCAGTTTTGTTCAGTATTTACAAAGATGTGTCAAAATATTTGTCAAAATTCGGCACCCTCAGCAGACGATATAAACGGGGTAAGGCCAAACAGGCTTTGTTAAAATCTTTTAAAGGGACTAATTCTAATCCGGTTGACATTTTGATTTTTTTTTTGTGTTAAACGCAGATTAAGCCGTAATAAATTAGAAATGGAAAATTGAAATGACGATCAGTGGCTATAATAATAAATGCATATCACAGTAAGTTGTGGCAAGATAACATCTGCGAGAACTCGGATTATTTGGAAAACCGGCGTCACTACTCTTGACCTGAAGACAACTTCGAAAAGAATACTGAAGCAGTTGGTGGGGTAATCTGGGTTAGCGAGAATAAATATATGTAAATATTTATGGACAATACAGATAGAGAATAGATATATACACGGGAGCGATTTGGTGGAACATTTTATAAGGCAATTAGAAAACAATAATAATAATATACATCAAATTAACGTTCAACACAAGAGACATCAACTTTTATATAATTTTCGAGTAATTATTTACAGCTTATATATTCATTACAATTATGTCACCGAAGGGTCATATTGTACGTACGAAAATATAACATTAAGTCATATCTGATATAATTCTGTCCTGGAATCATATGTTTTACCCTTCTCGTATAAAGTTAATTATATCGAGTATATCATAATTATGAGTTTCTGACATTCAAAGTGCATGACGGTCATGTTACAAGTCGGGTATTTTTAAGGAATCTAAAGGATTGTGGTGTGGTAGCTTTTCGAGAAGGTTCATTCCTACCTAGTACGACGTGAATACCTTAAGCTCTTGATTTTCAATTAATATCATGGGTATTTTCCCACTGCTTCTCTATCTTTTTATAAAGCAATTTGCCCCACTACTTACTGTATTAAAATGACCTGTAACTTAGTTTTAATTTATACTTGGAAATTTCAGTGTTTAAATTACTATAGAGTTAACAGAAGTCAGAAAATCTTTATTATCATAACTACAAGATAATCAGTTTTAAAGATTACCCCTTTAGAGACAAGCTATTAAAATGATCATATATTTATAAACAGCCGCGACTGCCATGATTATCGGGAATCTAAACACTGACCTAGCTAGTAGGGCTTGTGTCTGATTTCTTTAAACGCAGTTAAAAGCAAAAATGGCTTTTAAGATTTGTCTAAAATTGTGAATACAATGAAATTTGTACCTTCATGATGAAAATCGGATCAAATTACACAAACCCCCTACCAAATACCCCCGTCCTTCATTGCTGTAATACCCCTATAATAGTTAAAAATATGTTTTTCTCATTTGAATATTTTGTTTAACGATTGATTACGACGCAATCAATTAGACCAAATTCCAATTCTTTCATTAAATTTCCGAGTATGGCGGCGGAAGTATGTCGACCGAACAGAACTCATGCTGTATAGGAATTTGTTGTCTGGTCATCATACCCGATCTCATACTGGATGGCGGAGCGAATCTTAAGGGTTCGTTATCGTTATGATTATTTGCCACATTTGATGTCTGTGAAATATGGTTTGTCATCATTACTGGCATCTGGTTGGACGCCGGGAGGACATGAACCTGGGTCAAATTAACTGTCCCATTTTGAGCAGGAGTACTCAATGGGACATTTGGAGACCAATGTAGGGTTCCATACAGAATCTCATCGCATGGGACTTTCTTCTCTGGTATTGCCATGGCATTTTGTATTTGCTCTTTGGGTTTCGGATCGACTGCAGGCGTAATTGCGCTTACTTGTGTTGCAGAGACAATATCTGTCGTAGTGGGGGCTATGTTGGTGGGAGATTCAGCACTTATAGCACCCCCTTGTACTTTCTTGGGGGTATCAGTAGTGGGTGAACTCTTAGAAGCTTCATTGTCACCAGTAGCAGGCTTGGCATCAGTAGTAGCCTGGGCACTAGTTGATGCCTTATCTCCAGTAGCTGTCTTTTTAGTAGCAGAAGCCGCATTAGCGTTTTTCTTAGCCCCTTCGGCTTTCTTCTTAGCCTCTTCGGCTTTTTTCTTGGCTGCTTCCGCTTCTGTAAATAGAACATTTCTTTTTGTTTTAAAGATACAAACAGTCACACGGTAAACAACACGTTGGTGTGTATAGATGTGTGCCTTTTAAAAACTGACCTTGTGGGCCCTGGATAAGTTTTAACTTTAGAACCTAAAACTGATTTTATCTCTAATCAAATTTAAAATCCAGTTCTAGATTTTAAAACTTTGAAGTTAAACTCAAATTGAATTAAATTTTAGGCGCAGATTCTTGAATATAATCCAGATACGATTACCCATCAATCAAATCAAAGAAGCCCTTATATCTTTAACAAAACTTACCAGCAAGGCGTTTAGCAGCTATGGCTTGCTTCTTCTTAAACACACAAAATAGTACAATCAATGAAACTAAAGTCACTGGCACTGCTACTGCCGCAACCGGGAACTCTGTAAAAAAGAAACCTTCTACTTATTCGATTTAACTGATTGCTTATCTCGAAAAATTGCCCACAAATCATTGGCACAAACATCAAAGATCAGCAGTCGTATCAGGTGTTGTAGAAATAAAAATACCTCGTGACATACACGACACTACTAATAGTTAAATGGAGTAATGGACTTCAAATTGTTTATAACCTAAGAACGACCACCAAGTTGCTAATTTCAACACACCGTTGCTAACATTGCTTGAATCGACATTCGATCCCGTCAGTTCATTCTTTGGAAGAAAGAATCTGATGTTGTATAATGGCACGTCTGTACTAACCTGATGGATAATACAATATAATTATTTACAATTAACATTTATCAATATAACTTTCGGCTTTGACCTACACTGTCCAAAATAAACGTAAAATCTGTGATATCTCCAAATTGTCTCTCCCTACAATTATTTTGTGGACCGATAAACACTTTCCAAAAAGCAAACCAGCCATGCTTTATATTACCCAAATCTAAAAAGTCGTAGAATTTAAAATAATACAGAAAAAAAGTTAGCATGGAAATAACCATCTAGTTGTCTAGATTGTCAAAAAATATAATGTTAGCATTAGTGACCTAGAACTCACCTTCTATCTTGATGCAAGTTATCTTGGCATAGAACCCCTTTCCAGTCTCAGTGGCATCCGAATGAAAAATAATTAACAGATTGCCCTTTATATCACCATGATATGCTTCATATCCTGGTTTTCCACACATTCTGGCTATTTTTAACCCCGATGTAGGGGTTTGACCTGTGAAAAAAGTGGGATATTAAGTGTGAATGGAATGGGTTTTAACGTCTCCTTAAGACAATAATTCAAACATTTTGAGACTGACGTATAGTCATGAGCATTTTTACGGTTGTCGAGACAATGGCGTCGTTAAGACAATACTTCAATTGTTTTGATGCTAACATACGGTCAGAATCTTTTCTATGGATTCTTTCTTAGCTTATGTCAAGACAATGACGTCGTTGTCTATTCAACTTCGAATACTGTAATGTATTCTTTAAGAGCACACCAATGTGCAAATAGGCCTTGAGTTTTTTACAGACCATCCGACTAACAACTAAGTACCCCCTCCTGATCATCCCCAAACTGCAAACTGTTTATGTATTTGCCAGCAATTAGTAGGTGGCTAAAGACAAGCGATGCATTGAGGCAAAGTTTAACTAATTTCTGTCTTTTTTTGTTCTGAGCGAAGTTATGTTTGTAGGTTTTGAAATGAAATATCGCTCAAATAGTCAAAATAAACGAAGTCTCGATTTTCCATTTTATCCATCGTATTGCGCGTTTGTTCTAATCCATTCAATATCTAGCCATTAGATGTTCAAGAGGGTTGAATATGTCTATTAACAATTTTTATATAACATTTTAATCCAGGCAAGAGGCATATAATAGGCAGATTAATTAAGTTCGTGCATAATGTATATTTAATGAATTGCAATGTCTACCTTTATAAAGATCAATATAATCGACACAATTCAAATCAACAGGCCTCTGGATATCCATATCAACAAATTCCACATGAAGGCGTCCTTCATTTTGACATTTTGGTGTAAACAACCATCGACAAGTCAAATTACTGAAATGTAAAAGAGGCAAAGTAAATCTTACAAAACAAGGTAATGGAAAGGAGTTAAAATTCTCCACTCACTAATAGAGAGACACGGTATGCATTATTCAAGACTGTTGCATGTACCGACACGTAAACCTTAAGTCTGTCTTATTTAATTGACTAATGACGATACATCTGCTGCTACTGTTGATGACGATGATGATAATACGACGACGACGACGATAAAACCATATCTTACTTGGTATAGTTGGAATTGAGATAGCCTGGAGACGAGGCATACTCAGTTTGATCTGAACCAACCTTCCTTTGAGTTGTGTTCCCATTACACGCAGCATCTGGAAATATAAATCACAAAATATAACAAACCACTCTAACTTAGGACCTGATCACATTTAGCAGGGGTGGCGCATGCTTGGATGACCAGGTGGGGGTAGGTTAGAATCAAAAGATTTCAAATATTCTCCCGATGAGATGTTAAACACCATCAAATAAATTCCTTTTCCTAAAAGCGAGTCAACAAAGTCCAGTGACCGAAATGGAGAGCATTGAGCTACCGTAAATCTCATTTGACAAATTATAGGAAACATTTTGAAAAAATGGTAAGAATACCCTACATTATACTCTCCTAAATAGATTCAATTTGGAAAGAGTCATAATTATAAAGAGAATGCAATAATAGTCAATATATAATATTAAATGCAATAAAGATGCAATATGTAAGTTGACCGCCTTTGCTATAACAGCTCAAAAATAGATAACGAGAAACGAATATATTGAAAATTTCAAGCGATGCATCCGATAACCCAGGGAGTTGATTATGAGCTTGTCATGTTAATAAATGTATTCTAGTTAATGATTTATATTACGTTTAAAGCTAGAAAAAAAAGACCTATAATAGGCAGATTGAGTGCTTACATAATGCTTCGTTATATGTGGCAATTATATTAGAAGAGTTATTTAAAGAATGTTATGTCTATTGATTTACTTGATTATTAAACGATAGTTGCTTGTAACGAAAAAATTCAAGATATATTGTACTAATTTTAGTGAATAAAACTGCTTGGCTTTTCTGCCTATTAGATCATTTGTTCAATTGACACCCCGGATCCGTTCACTTAATTTGATATTTACCTTTGATTGTTTATTGCTTGAAATGTGTGTAGAATGTGTGTCTTGTCCATAGGTTTGTCGTTTGGATTTTACTACTATTATAAGATCTACATATATAAATGCTCTGTCATCAATAAGTAAAGTGGACGTACAGGTTATATAAAGACATATTTTTATATTAATTTTGATATAAAAAAAGACTTACCAGTGCTGTAAACTGTTACCACAATAATGATTACCACCTTAAATACCATATCCATCTTAAACATTTACCGTTTTCCTGACTGACTTTGATAAAATGGAAAATACCTTTGGAATATATTTTTCTCGGGTCAGATAACCGCCATATTTGTTTATCATAACAACTACGTCAAGGACATTAATAATTACTATGAACGGGTCAGTGCGTACAGATCTGTGTAGTTACTAAACAGATCGATAATAAAGCAAGTATAAATTAACACCACCAAATGAGTGGATTCATTAAAGGGACAATACTATAATGCTGATAAATTTATTAACTGTTTCTATTAATGAGTTTAATTTCTATCTTATTGTTTATTTTATTGCGGGGGGGGGGGCCGAATGGTTAGCATGTGCTTGCTGTATCATAAGGTCTGTCATTGAGTCAACTGGCGTGGTTTCGAATCCCCGGTTGTACGTGACAAGGAGTAGGGTCGCCTGTCCAACCTCGTGGGTTTCCTCCCACTGCTAAAGACCCCTACGTATATGATGTTTAATGTTTTCCGGTAATAAATAGTTTCAAGGATAGTTCCAGTCTCTATAGTTATTAGCGAAGATTCTCTCTGCTACAATACGACATACTTTTCATGAATCTGAAATATGAAAAACCAATATTCTTCTGAAATATGAAAAACCAATATTCTAATATGTTTCCATATAATGGTTAGTGTCAAAATTATACCCCTGTCTTTTAAAATTGATGAATTTGAATAATTTATTTTTCGACCAGAGTAATTTTGAATGTCTATGATCTTCAACTGTGTTCACGTATTCAAAAGATAAACGGGATTCGCTAAATAAGAGGGTTGGGTGGGGAATAATGTCGCTATATTAAAGGACACTACTAAATGACCTATATGTGACATTGTTTTGTTTATGTTAGCTATGAAATCCTCAGAATAGCAGTGATATCAGGTAGAACAACAGAAAGCATGATTTCCCTTTCTTGATTACCCGATACTTAATTGAATTAAAACAAAAACTGTTTATATATATCGTCCGGCTTGAAAAACAAGTGTCGCAATAATACACTGAGATTTATGACCTTGACTTAAGGGCATTGTAGACATATATATATCCTGGTATATAACATCGATATAATGTCTTGTTATAAATCAGGTGATAAATGATGTAGATTAATATATGTATATAATCTGTATTGTGTAGCATACAATATGTATATGTGTATATATATTACAGTAGATAAAGTACAAGCACTTCTTTGTTTACGGGATATAAATGCATAAATAAATAAAAAAAATACGTCCAGGTAAAAATTTCTCCACTTTACTTCATTCTGACATACATTAAATCACATGAGCTAGTAGTTTGCCCTCTATAGACGTCTTCATATATAATTATATATATATACATTCTTAGAATAATAGATATCAATGACAATGGATTATGAATAATATTAGGTTATGTACAACACAAGTTTAAAAGGATATAATACATAACATGGCCGTGCGCGCCGTATCATAAGACCTGTTGTTGAATCTTTTTCGAATCCCCGGTTGTACGTGACAAGGAGTAGCCGGTCGCCTGTCCAACCTCGTGGGTTTTCTCCGGGTCTTTCCGTTTCCTCCCACTGCTAAAGACCCCTACGCGCAAGCGAATTATTGAAATAAAATTAAACCATATGTTAGTCCCGAAATGACCTAGTTTGTGTCGAGTGGACGTTAAACCTCATTTTTCTCTCTCTCATAACATGACATTAATATACATAGTCTTCCTGGTATAGCTTAACAATAGCCAATTCAGGAATAATGAGATGAAATAAAAGTTCATAGACCAATTATGTAATCTGGCTACAAAACGTAACCCACATCTGACGATAAAGGATAAAGCACACGGCCGAGAAACTTTTCTCATAAAAAGTATAGATTCAGATCCAATGAAAATCGGACACATAAGATGGCATCTAGAGTTGATTATGGTCTTTTTAGTTTATAACATTTCTGGTCTAAAGAAATACCTACAATAGGCAGATTCACCTCTTGCATAATGTGTGTTTAAAGTAGCTAAGTATCTAACTCAACATCATCCCAAATCTTCAACATTGAAAATACGAATTATTTGTCAATTTAAAACAACATTGATGCTGTGATCTTACCGGAAAAAGATGGGCATATCCAATATTTAAGACAAAATAAATATTTTACCATTAGTAGCCTACACGAATGGTGTACCATAATGCGTTTCAGCCCCAGTTCTAGCAAGAAACTCGAGGAACGAGGCTAGACATATTGCACCAAACCAAACGGCGTATGTAGATTGGAATAACCAGACGCTAGGAATTTGCATTCGATTGAGACTGCTGGCTTATTTCACGGAACATAAGTGATTTGAAATTAGAGTAAAAACAGAAACGATTGAATGTAAATCAGTTTATATACATTCATATTATGCAGTATTATATGAGTTGCGACCCACTTGTGTCAATTTCGAGGTCCCCAATGTTACCGATTTAGCTCCTTTAAACGGGCGAATGTCGTAATAGCAGTTCATTTCATCTGTTTTATTAGCGAGCACACCAACATTATTAAGATGATGTAACATAATCCTTAAGTGGCATTTAGCGTTTTTTATGATGTAACATACTGTATGAATTAGTTATTTTGTTACGCGGTAATAAACCGCTAATAATATAGGTAGGCCCTAGATCAAGATTAACTAACTGTTTCATCTGACTGTTTGAATAGACGTGATATTTTTTTATTTTTACCAAATATGTTTATCTTAATCTTTTTGATTTTACTGAATATATTTGAAAAGCGAAACTTACACCCGATAATCTAAAAAACTTTAAACCTCAGTTTCCTTCCATTCCCCAAGACAAGCATGTAATATCATTGTGAGGTTAAATCATTATGACGTATATTCACTATGACGTCACAATGGACATTCGCCGTAACCATGATTACAAAGATGGCGACTTCCTAGGAAGAGATGTCACTCATACTATTTCCGCGACAAGTTTGATTTTTTATGGTGTTTGTCTTAATATTTATTTAAGTCTTCTAAATACATCTGTTCATTAGTATGTATCTAATGATCTTGGGAGTTTTATTTGTTCTCTTTTGTGTTGAGAACAGTGTAGAAGGGTGTTCAGGACAGATTAATTTGATAGCAACCAGTTCCTACCAATATTTTACTTCTCCAAGTTACCCAAGTCTGTATTCAAGGTTAATACTAATATTTAAAATTTCACTTCGTCTACAGTACAACATCGGTTTAAAATTTTTAAAAAATTGAGGCCAAAGTGTTTAAAGTATTCTATATGTAGTCTATGGCTGGGTCAATTAATAAGAAGACGATATATAGCCTAATCATTATCAGATAGGCTACAGATGATAGGCCTACCGGTAGCGATATTTAAGATATTATTATTATTATTATTAATAGTCTAAATAAGGTAATACATGTTCATATAGCGGATCGCGATATTTGGCGAACATGTCGAATATAGGTCTACTATCGGTACGGCGAAATGAAATAATTTACAAAGCTAAAGAATAGTAATTTCTTAACGCAAGCGTGCAAATGTGACGTCACACAACATAGCCTACATAGCGTGGTGATTCAATTAATAAATCGTCAACACTTGTCATTCCAGGGGTAAAATAATCGCTCAGATCTCAATTTGTGGACATTTTTATTACCTTATTTATTAATATCCCGCTTTCTATCGATCGCACTATAGCCAAGAGAGACTTTGGAACCGGGCAGTAGGTATAGAAGTTTAAAAACCTAACATATAAGTAAAGGCTGTTGTGCGAACGTTTGAAGATTAGGAATCGATCCTAATTTGCGTGTTGCTTTAAACATTCTCGTACATTATGCAAGAGCTAAATCTGCCTATTGCAAGTCTTTATTTGGGCTTCAGGTGTTATAGAAATGATTAATTAGATCTATATGTACATGACAAGCTCAAAATCAACTCTGCAGACCCTCGGATCGCTTGGATACAGCTTGGATATAATCAGTCGCCCATTTAAAATTAAATCAGTAAAGGGAGGATCAAGCTAACGTTTACCCTTACTCACTGGTGTCACTACCGGGGATTGGTGATGAAAGGCCTATTAAGCGAGGTACCATAGCCGTTGAGAATGTTACTTGATAATCGAGAATATGTGGGTGGAGTTATCGTCTGTCAATCAAACGATCGGCAATTCTCGTGTGTGTTGTGTGTCGTCACATTTGCACGCTTGCGTTAAGAAATTACTATTCTATAGCTTTGTAAATTATTTCATTTCGCCGTACCGATAGTAGACCTATATTCGACATATTCGCCAAATATCGCGATCCGCTATATGAACATGTATTACCTTATTTAGACTATTAATAATAATAATAATAATAATATCTTAAATATTGCTACCGGTAGGCCTATCATATGTATCTGATAATGATTAGTGCGGACACAGTTGATGCCTATTTCTAGTCCAAACTTCCAACAGTTACAACTCAGTTCAATATTTTCTTTTTTTATCATCTATTTTTGAATTATTATAGCAAGAATGGCCAACTATTTATTAAACTCTAAACTAATGTATCTTTAAACAATAATCACCGAGATTCGATCATGGTGGGTGAGTGAGTCAGGAAAATACAAACGTGCATAAAGCTGTATTTCCTTTAGTACGGACCCGGTCCGGCTCCGGTCTGGGAGCAGACATGGCACACGGCAGGTTATGTATCCTTATATGCGGTTATTCAAGCGGAAGGGCTCTCTTTTCAACATGGCACCGGCATTGTCAAGGTTCGTAGAAGAAGAAAAAACATTGATAATATTGGCTGCAGCATACATGTGATGATGATGAATACAATCTGCTTATCAGTCACTATGCATCGATAGTTTGATCACTCACCTTTGATGGAATCATCCCATAGCCTGGGAAATCGATTCCCAGACATTGTGCACCAGTTGTGCATCTTCATATTCTGCACAGCCTGCATCATACAGGCATATAATGGTCACGTACAAGTTCAATCAGTTTCTCTATGTCCTTTCTTTCTATTTTCATTTTTTCTTTTTCTGATTCCATGAACACGAGTCCAAGAGAGGGCGAAAATTGGAATTTCCCTACCTATTTTTAGCTTTTTCCCGTGCGTGTT